AAGCACTGGGGGGGGGGCAAAGGCAGCGAGCCACCTTCTCTGTAAAGAGCCGCCATGGGCCAAGTCTGCGGAGACCGCTGGGTAAAGGAGCGCAGGCCTCTCCTCTGGACCCAGAGGGGCTCTCCCACATTTCGGTCCCAGGCCAGAGCAGGGGGTGATGGTGGGGGAGGCCTCTTGGAAGACCCTCCCCATGTTCCCAGACCTCTCAGGATTCTTCTCGTCTTGCCTCTGGCTAGAATCCAGCGGAAGAGCCAGGCAGGCCGGATGCGGCCCACCTTGACCAAAGGAGAGGCGGGCAAGTGGACTGGAGGCGGAAACTTTTTGCAAACTTTTACAAACAATGTTGCGCCTTTTTTTCCTTTTCTTTTTTGTAACGTCTGTGTTCACATATAAAATAAAGCCAATGCACAGGTTCCCCTGGCCCATCTCGTTCTAAAGGATGATGGCAAAGAAAACAAAGAATCAGAACAAGGGAAAATTCTGACCTCCAGCTTGGAGGAGCAGTGAATTGACTTCCGGAGAACGGAGATGGGTCGGGCTGGGGGGGGGGAGCTAGTTGGGCCTGGATATCCCTCCATCACGGTTGGTTGGTGGGGGCCTCTTTGAGGGGTGGGGAGGAGAACCAGGGACCAGTGCTGGAAATGTAGAGTGCTATGGTTTGGTTTCTCTGAGAGGGCTGAGAGAGGGCCCTCTATGGCGGAGGGAAGGAGGAGGTCTGACGGGATGTTTAGAGTGAAGCCACCATTGGGAAGGGAGGGAGAACTGGGAGGTGGTGGTGAGCCCCGCTGGCCCCGCAAGGACCTCCAAAGCCGGCCCGGGTCACGGGTTACGAGAGCCCTCAGAAGAGGTGGCGGCTTCAAGGGACCCCTTTTGTGTTTTCAAGGAAAGGGGGAGGAAAGAGGGGCTTGCTCGGTGTGTGTGTGCGCGGTCTTCCCTGGGGCAAAGAGGTAGGACACGCTTGTGTTGAGGGGGAAGGTGCAGAAGGCAGGGGCGCGAGCCCATTGGGAGTCCCCACCTCAGCTAGCCGTGGAGGGAGTCAGGGGTGGGGTGGCAGGACTCGCAAGGGGAAATGAAGCCACCCTGTGAAAATCATCATCAGCAGCAGCATCTCTCTTCCTCCCCTGCATCCTGGCTCCAATGGCTGATGGCAGCAGGAAGAGTCCTGGGAAGCGGCGGCGCGTGTGGCTGTGCATGTAGACCAGAAACCAGGTCGGCCAAGGATGCACTGACTCACCAGCCCTGCCAGAGACATTCCTGGCTCCCCTTGGCAAGGAGGGGGGGTGGAGAGAGAGAGAGGCGAAGTGGCCTTTTAACCCTCCACAATCCCCCACCCCCTGGCACACACCTATCCCATACCCACCCCGCACAAGGCTGGGGACTCAGGGGCAGCTGGGAAGAAGCCGTTTGGGGTTCCAGCGCTGGGCCGGGCCGGGCCGGGCCAGGATTGGCCCTTTCGGGTCTCAGGCAGTGAGGTGGGAAGCAGAAAAGACCCACCAGCTCCCTGTTGACCCAACAGAGCGAGGAGGAGGAGGAGGAGGAGGAAGAGAAGCAGCGGCAGGGATGGAATTGGATCCGCTTCGGAGGGAGGGAGGGAGGGAGGGAAGGGTGGCGAGACAGACAACAGCAGCCCTCCTTCTGCTTACATAACCAACCCACCTTCTTCCCAAACCAGAGAATGAACCGGAATGAAGGGCTGCAGTTCCCCTCCCCATCCCTGCCCCCCCCCAAAAAAGACTAGGCGTGAAAGGCAGCCTTGGCCAAGCCAAGCCAGCACCCCCCCCCCCATGATCAAGGTCAAAAGCAAAAGGAAAAAGAAGGCCTGCTGCTTCTACACTGTGCCCCCCTCCCAAATAGCACTTCAAGCCCCCTCTGGGCAGTTTACCAGTGAAGGAGGCAGGCTACACATTGCGCCCCCCCCGGCAGCATGATGGGTACTCCTTTTTCGCGACCTCCTCGGAAGGATGGAAGGCTCACCTGGGATCGAATCCTGGGTTGTGAGCACACTTTGGGGTGCAGGGCAGCCGTTTAACCGCAGCACCAGGAGGCTCCCCCCCCCCGAGACCCACAGGAGGGAGGCTGCAAGGGGGCAGTGGGGGCATCTCTGTGTATTTGGAGTTGGGCACATACCCCCTCCCAGGGTCTGTGTTGACCCCCTGCCCAACAGGGCTCCCCTCGGCTCTGAGCTAGAGGGCCCGCTGGAGAAGCTGTCAGGGGCTGATCCTGTGACCTCTTCCAGCAGGCCGAGGGCTGGGCCTCCCAGCGACGACCACCTAAGATCCTAGCCCTTATGGTTCTGAGTCAGCGCTTGGGTCCATCAGGGACACACACAAAGTTGCTTTGGGCTGAGCAGTGGGCAAGGCGTGCTTCCTCCTCCCCCGCCCCAAGGAAAATCCAGGCACTGCTGTGACCCCGCAGGAGTTTGTGCCAACAATACATCCGGGTGTTGTGCCCACCCCTGCTTGAGGCAGGCCAGAACACCAGGCCGGGGGCTGAGGTCTGCTGAGAGTCGGTCTCACCAGCACTTTCCTATGGGGCACTGATGATCGTTTGCAAACGCAGAAGGGAGGCACCGGGAAGATGGGCCCACAGAGGCCCTTCTCCCCCTACAAGGGAGCATCCCCCCGCCCGTCGACTCACTCCCTCCCCCCAGCCAGAAGATGTCTCTTGGCCCCATCTCTGCGCCTTCAGAGAAAAGCCCCAAAGAGAGCCCAATCCTGCACCCTTCACTGGCTCTACACAGAAGAGTGCAGGCTGGGAGGCGGCTGGAGCAGCCAAGAGCCTAACCCAAACTGGGTGGGGCCTGGGACTCCCCGGGGGCCAGCCTCGGAGACCCACTGGGCTCAGGGCTTGGCCGGAGCAGAGGGCCATCTGCGTCCCTCGAGTTGGCTCGCATCCTGCCAGGGTGCCCAGGGCCGCCAGTCCCTCTGGCTACCCATGGGACCCCCCCCCCCCGAACCTTGGGCTCCTCAACATGGGCTCCTTCCCAGACGTCCCTTCCCACTGCCATTCCTGCAGGGCAGGGGCTGGGCTTTCTGGTGGGCGACACCCCAAGCATGCTCTCGCGCTGGGCCTCTTGAGGTCCCCTCCCTGAAGGAAGAAGGTGGATCCTCCGCCTGTGGAGGGGAGGGCCCCCCTTTCTCTTGCCTTCCCTCCCCTCCCACCAGCCCCGTTTCTAGGCCAGGCAGAAAGGGAACGTGGCCGGGGAGGAGAGAAACTGAGTTAAAAAGAAAGTGCCAGAGTTACAGGCAGGGCACCGAGCTATTTATAGGCCAGCTGCCCTCCCCCTTGCCCTCCTCACCGGGAGACCTGAGCAAGCAGCTGGCTGCATCAAGGCCAAAGTTCCCCCTGCCTCCTCCAAGGGCCTGATGGGTTGGCTCTTTTGCCGGAGCCGGACCAGCCCCTCCCCCCTCGGTCACTTTCCCCATACAAGGGGGGGGGGCACGGGAGAAGGACTGGCAACACCTCCTTCTTGTACTCTCACCCCCCCCCAGTAGCCCATTTGGTCTCCTCAGAGGACTGGAAGGGGATCTCCCAAGGTCATCCAGCCCCACCCGGACCAATGCAGGGAAACTAGGAAGTGTGGGGCTTTCTAGGGGTCTTCCTCCCACAGCTCAGGTCTGCCAACCTCCAAATCGCTAGAAAGGACAGGGAGGGGGGGCTCTTCAGGCCAGCCCCCTGAGCTGCCCACTCCCCAGCCAAGGAAGGGGAGGGCGGTGGGGAGCCCGAAGGGAGGGAGACCCGGCCGCCGGTGACCTACTCTCCTGAGTTGCAGGGCAGGATCCAGGCACCCCGGAGGAGCAGGAAGACAAGGAGGGCAAAGGGTGCCTTTGGGCTCCGATTGATACTGACGTGACTCCACAAGCATCATAGGCTGGGGCGGGGGGGGCAACTTCCCTCCTCCCTGCATTTATTGGGTTCCTTCTCGGAGGGCCAAAAGAGAGGAGGAGCACCAGGCAGAGGAGAAGGATCAGGATCAGGTGCAGGGAGGATTGGGGGGGGCGGGGAGGAAAACGGCACCTGCCCCCTCCAAGGCAACGGATGGGAGGGGGAAGCTCTCTGGGGTAACCCCCCCACCTTACCTTCTGCAGGGAGGTTGCTCTCCCCCCCCCAGAGCATGTGTGCACGGGGGGGGTCTATTTCCCTGTGCCGCCCAAGTGCCCTCCCTTCAGCACCCGGGACAGCTCCCAGGCCCTGCCACCACCACCCCCGCTGGCCTCCCAGGGAGCCAGACCCCCAGAGGCCTCAATCCAGCTCACGCGGACTCTCCCCAGGACGGGCTCTGCAAAAGCCACCCCCCCTCGCCCGCCACACTTGCCAGGAGCCTCCTCCCCTCCCCTCTGCTGCAGCCGTGGGGCTTCTTGGCTTCACGCTCTGACCTAGAAGCTCCGGGTGGCGCCCCCACCCCCTAACTCCTTAACCCTCACAACAACCCTGCCAGGTAGACCCTTCAGAGACAGAGAGAGAGAGAGAGAGGGTCACCCAGGTCGCTTCCCAGCTCAGTCGGGGGGGAGGCACCTGGGTACCCCAAGGCCCAGAGCTTTAACCGCTGCCCGACACTGTCTGGGGCAAGGGGGTCTCCTCAGGATTCTTGGGATGATGGGCACGAATGCCCGGGGATGATGACAAACATCCTACGTGAGCCAGGCCTTCCCTTCGCCAGAACCCAATGAATAAAAACTGGGAGACATTTTGCCTTAATTAGCCAAGTAGGTCACAAACACAGCTAACACCCCCCCCACACACACACACACTTACACACCCCTCAGAAGAAATCCTCACAGGGCCTGTATGGCCTTAGGCCGCTAATGAGAAAATATATCTGCTAAAACCTTTTCCCCATTAAAATATCCTAGCCCC